TAATAATAATAAATAATAATAATAATAATAATAAATAATAATAATAATAATAATAATAATAATAATAATAATTAACAATAATAATAATAATAACAATAACAATAACAATAACAATAACAATAACAATAACAATAACAATAACAATAATAATAATAATAATAATAATTCGATTTGTATACCGCATCCTGCGAAAAAGCCTCTCTATGCGCTTGGTGATTGAGCTCTTGACATTTTGAAAAAAGTTGATGTAGTCCTAAGAAACTAAAACTTACTCCTTAAAATAATAATAATAGTGTAGTTTTATATAGCGCACTTATCCATCTAATGTAAGATGCTCAGGGCGCTTGAAATGTGACCAATGACTTTCTTCGTCCCTAAGGTTCCTTCGTGTCTATGCTACCCGGCAACCCGGTACCACCACAGGGACTGCCTGTTCCAGTTCACACGAGCAATTGTATACACTGGGTCTACGGTTTATAGTCCTTATCCGAGAAGACTTGTTCTACCACCAGAACCATAGGCGAGCGTGCCGTTCGAACCAGCGCCGATATTACGGCTATAGCTTGCGGTGTCCCTGCTAACCGCTCGGCCATTCGACTCACCACACTTAAACTAAAGCATGGTTGGCCGTTGGCTTCGAGGAGTTCATTCACCCTTTGTTCAGCTTTTGTTTTTTTTTTTCTTTTTTTTGCTGTTGGGTGTCCATCCACCCTCCCACCAGCGGCCGCTAAGACCACCAAATGGGGTTTCCGGAATTAGTCGCCGACGACTCGACCGGATGCAGTTTATAACGTCGTACTCAGGACACTAGAACCTTATGTACTACACTTATATACGTTAAAAATAAACTACCTTAAATAATTGGTTAAAAAACTATCCGCTTCACGACGTTAACCTTAACTTTAACGTTAACGTTAGTACCCAACATGCAACGCGATAGCTCCGCCCCTTTTGTAAACAGATCGAAGTACGCATGCACAAACCCATAACTAACTTACGTGGAACACGTAAAATCCTGAGGTTAACGTCACGACGTTAAGGTTAACGTCGTGCGGCGAAAACTACCTTGAGTCTTGAAACACGGAACGTAAATAAACTATAAAAGTAAAGAGAGAAAGCTATCGATCGTCAATTAAAGTAATAACAAAGGATGTCCCGTGGTAACATCACCATATGCCGACTACGGGGCATTGCCCATCTAGGTCGCATTTCCATTTCTATTAAGTGTTAGTATATTTCTTTCCATTAAAACACTCGTTTAACCACTCTTTCATAATCAGTCACGCTGCCTGTTCGCCAGCATCGTATCATTCTCTGTTAGGTATAATTATTAGAAGAAAGCATCATGACGCCGAATAACTTCGACGCGACAAAAAGTTCATTCACTACGGCGGCTTCTGGATAGAAGTTCGTTGATACTTTAACAATTAAAGTTGTCTTTTAAAGCATTCAGTATTACAGTAGGACTAATTTTTAGATTCCATTCGCCAATCCAAACACTCGGATATCCTAAACGGGCTTATAAAATTATATTCTGTCTGACAATTGATAATATGAAAAGAAATTGACGGTCCAGCAATTTGATTATGTAAACCGAAATGGTATCAGCTCAG